GGTTCGGAGCCCCGACCTTTGCAAAAGAATGCAGCTGGACAGTTCATCCTCAATGTCATGGACAGCGCTGAGGCTCTGTTGTGTGAAGAAGAAGAACATTCAGAAGAGCATCCAGAAGAGTCCGACCGAGATGAGCTGGTCGGAGGATGTGAAAGAATGCTCATGAAGAGGGAGCAGAGGTGTCTTCTGGCTCATCAGGAGGCATGGAACAAGGGACAAAGCACAGTGGCCGTTGCAGAATTGTTCTCACCGCCTCGATTCTCAGCGGTGATGGAAAAGAAAGGAGAACAAGGTTTGTCCTTCGACATCAAGCAGGGTTGGGACCTCACCAATCCAAAGACCCACAATTTGGTGGATCAACAATTAGAAGAGTCAAAACCGGAGTTGCTTGTATGCTGTCCAGAGTGCAAACATTGGGGAGGCTGGTACAGACTCAACAGGCACAAATTGCCGGTGATTCAACAACTACACAATCAGAGGCAGGCGAAGGCACAAGCAGAATTCTGTGCTCAACAGATCCGCAAACAGCTGAAACGTGGAGGACGTGTGTTGCTTGAACACCCCTGGTCAAGTGATTTGTGGAAGCACTGAAGCACCCTCCAATTCGGCGACTATTGCAGAGTGGTCAGTTGACATTGCACAGGGCTCACATGTGCGCCTAGAATCTGCAGGACGCCGACAGTGAGCAACCGATTCTGAAGCCGACAGGCTTGGCAGTGTCGCACGAGGACATGGCCCAGTTCGCCTTGGAACGCCCAGGACATCCCACCCACCAGTTGATAGCAGGGCATTCATCAGATGGTGTACATCGTAGCACACGAGCAGCTGAATACACATCCATGTTTGTTCACACTTGGTTGCAATGCATTCGTCCACTTTTGTGTGATTTCTCTAGTGTGCAGGACAGCTTGAGTGATTGTGAAGGGCTGAAGGTAGAAAATCAGGAAGTGTGTGCTGCCTCTGAGGTCACGCTAGTCGAGCAGTTAGTTAAGAAATTGCATAATAATTTGGGCCATCCTTCCACCAGAACCCTGTTGAATGAGACAGCCGTCAAAGCAGCAGAAACGGTAGAGAAGAGTTGCGAGATTTGCCAACAAAGACAGCGACCCACACCGTCACGAACATGTGCAGGATTTCAACCATAAGATTGGCTGGGATACCAAATTACTACCAGGATGGAAGGTAAATCAGCAGGTCAAGTGTATGAACATTGTTGACTATGCCACCAGTTTCCAGATCATGGTTCCCTTGTTTGAACAAGAGACGTCTGAATTGTTGAAGAAACTGTTTCTTGAGACATGGCAACGATGGGCTGGATCACCTGTAGAAGTGGTAGTTGATTCAGCCAAGACAAACACCGCAGAAGAAGTGTTTTCACGTCTTGAGCAAGATGGCATTCGCATCTCCACCATCCATGATTTGTTCAGGGAGGGGAACTGCTTCTGACGTTCTCTGACCATTCAGGTACGGGCTCAAATTGGAAGACAGTGAAGGAGCTTTCATGTGTGACGCATGGACGGGAAGCTTCTCGAAGACCCAAGGGCAAGACGTGAGGAGGCAGGGGAACAGACTTACCAAAGGGGCGCCTGGCTTCACATATAGAGACTTCAAGAAACATGGAAGTGGGACAGTCCCTGATTCACCAACCCTTGGTTCCAATATTGACATTTCTTGCGAAGTTCTGAAAACTGTACCATGGAAAGCTATATATACATTATATTCCATTATATTTATCATGTTGTTCAGTTTTGGGCACGGCATTTGGGGTCGCCCACAAGATGGCTCCACATGTATGTTTAACATGGAAGCTGACCGCCTCATTGCGCAGGGAGGCGTTTTGCTCTTTGCACCGTATGCGCCTGCCCCGGAAGAATCCGGGGGGTTGGTCCTCACACGGCCAACCAGTTGATCAATTACATCATCAACTGAGGGAAAAGATCCGCGAGTTGGACGTGGAATCTTTGGGCATGTCCGCCGATTTGCGAAGCAGATCTCGTTTCCATGAGGTTGACCTGAGGAGCAGTGGCCATCTCCACCAGGAGGTTCTGCCGTGGGTTGAAATAGTAAAGATGACTTACAAAGCCTGGACTCGCATGGACCGTCGCATCTTCCAGTCCGCGTGGCTGTTGTGTGGATACTTCTCAGAAGAGCATATGTCTCGCTGGCAAGGTGACACTGTTTCTCAGACTCTCGCCTTTGATGAAGCCCAGGAGATCCTTACCAGTCCGTGGGGCAAGATGCAAGGAACACCCCAGCGGTGCACAGCCTTCGAATGGCAAATGCAGGAGAGTGAACAGTAAGACCCTGTTCAACAAACATTCAGACAAACATGGAACAGCTTATTTAAAACAAATGTGGTTTGTTTCAGTTTAATGTGTGCTTGCATTATAATGCGTGTATATATAATATATATATAGTACTTTAATATACCCCACCACAAACATGGAAGTGGACAACTGCCTGTTTGTTGAGGAGTCGAGGAGACTTGTCTTTCTAAGTGCCATTATCCACTTCTATGTTTGTTGGAAAAAGGGCACGGTATTGTATACTCAGTCAGTAGACCATTTTAACACTACAAATCTTTCAATGGGTTGTTTCACTTCCATGTTTCCACTTCAGGACGAGTCCGGTGAATGGAGAGCCCTTTCCTATGAGCTGGCAAGTGCTTTTGTCAGGACCCTCATGATCCACTGCGGCAAGCTTCTGAACAATCGAAAGACTTACTTCAACCTCTTGCGTGATGATCCAGCCATGAAAAAGAAGGCCACCCAGAAGGCCAAAGAAGATTTCGAACAGCTCCAAACTGTTCATCGCTACATTGTCATGAACCCCAGAACGTGCCAAATGGCCACATGCGACTGGCTCAACAAGCACATTGTTGTTGTGGATGGCATTCCAAAAATGAAGAAGAACACGGGAAAGACTTGCCCGCATCTTCTCACCCTGGCATTCACCATGCACGATGCTGAAGTTGAACTCGGGTTACGCCTGGATTCAACCAAGCCTTTCCTCAAAGTGCGATGCTATGATATTCGTAATGGTTGCTCTCAGGCCAAGATTCAATTCCTGATGAATGGATGGGAACACATGGGAGCGAAGGATTCTGGTTCTGAGGTAGAGGGATCAGAAGCCGACGAGGAAGAGGGGGTGCAGTCAGAAGCCGAGTCTATGTGTGGAGATGAGCAGGGTGTTGAAGGACAGGGGCGGGGTACCCTGTGATGAACAATCATGGAAACGGAACAAGGATGCAGAAACACTATGTGTGCAAATTCCGTCAGTTTGGTTTCTTTAATGTGCATACCATTTCCCTTGTGTGAGTCTAGTGCCCAGTCCATGTTTGTTTGAACTTCATACCCAGAGGCATGGCAGAACTCATGGGCGGGTTGCAAGATCCAGCGCCAGCACCGCAAGCTGGCTCTTCCAAGGTCAACAAGAAGGCAGTGGCTGCTGCAGGTGTGGATCTCCTTTTGGATGATGACTCCAGTGAAGGGGAGAAGGAAAACAACTTTGAACCAGAGGTAAACCCGGAGGACTTCATCCAAATGGTGACAGAAGAATCTTCAGGGAAGGTGATGAAGATGAAGCAGCCGGGATTCTTTGAGCGGGCCGCTTTCCTGGAGTTGAATGAGCTTGGCCTGGCTGTGATCCCGAATATGGCTGGCGTGCATATCTGGCACCACGTTTCTTCATCGCAGTGGCATGCGCAATACGGCAAGCGGAGCTACAGTCCGACATGGGGGAATCAGAGGACTGAGAAGAAAGCGCTTGCTTTGGCGATTGTCCAGTTGTGGCAGTGGTTTGTAGATGACCACCCAGATGATACGGAGGCAAAGGCCCAACTAGAATTCATCAACACTCACATTTCGAGCATAGACTAGAAGGACCGCGGATCATGTACAGATGTTGCCGTTCAGTGTACAAAGTTCCAACTACTGCATGGGAAAGACACAAAGAGAAAAAGAATACAACTTTACCCAGAAACATGGAAGTGGAACATGCCATTGGCCCCCTCATCCTTAAGACCATCCTCTAACAAACTGGGTTGTTCCACTTCCATGTTTGGCAAAGCACAGTGACTGCAAGGGTTGGCGGGGAATGTCCAGCTGGCTGCCACGTTAGTGTTTGAAAGTTGCGGTGTTCTCCTTCAAGGATGATTTTGAACAAACATGGAAATTGACACAGCTGCTCAGCGTGGCCAGACATTTGTATTGTTTCCCACAAACATGGAACCCATATATCACTTTCAGCTTTCATGATAGTGGGTGAAGCGCCAGTGAAGCGCAGCTCTCAAGACCTTGAGTCTGCCTTCCATGATTGTTGCAAAACATAATCAGCCTTTGTTTTGCACAAATCCTGGAAGTCTGCACATTCTTTTCTCTTCCATGAATGTTACAAAAAAAAAGGTTCCTCTTCTATGATTGTTTCAGGGGGTGTAGCAGCTGAGAAGATGTCGTACAGTGAGTTGGTTCAGAGTTCCAAGAATGCATCCTACCTCCGTTGGATCGCTTCTCGGTCCAAATCGTGGCGGTCGCTTTGAGGACTTGGCCAATTACCTCAAGGCCGTGGGCTTTGAAGAGAAGGCTTCATCAAGCTGTTATCCGGGCACTCACCAAGCTCGGGAGAAGAAGAAGTGACCTTTTTACTGCTGAGAAGAGAAGCTGGTTAGAAGAGCACTGCGGCACTGGATCCGGATGATCTCAACAGTGCAGAAAAGAATTGTTTAAAGAAGATTGAGGGAGTTTGAAAGCAGTGTCACCAACCTTACCAGCAGGACAGCAGCATTCGGACATTCGCAGGCACCCTCACGGCTCAGGGAAGTTGAGGAAAAGAGGCGGCCGAGTGGTTCGGGTCCGGGAGATCCATTTTGACCACGTTTTGGTCTAGTTTCCAAATATATATATATATATACACACACGTGGCATCTTCGATCGCAGTGCTTTTAAATGCACCATGCTTGTTGCTCTGACGGCATTGTTTCTAGGCAGTGTTCAACTCACTGCCTTGAGGAATTGCACTAGCTGCAGGAACTCTAGGAAGGACAAGCGTTGCCTCAATTCACCAGTATGTCCAGCAGCCACTTGGTTTCGAACTTCCTGGCATCTCTCTGGGTGTCGCGGCGCAAATCGTTCACCAACCTCTGGGCGGGTGGGCAAAAATAACTATGGTGCACCGGTTTATTCAACTGCAAGGGCATGCACACAATCACAGAGGCCCTTGTAAATTTAAACGACTACGGGCTCTTACCCCATGTAACATCAAGTTCTATCAACTCTCTCCAGGGATCATCGCAGAATGAGTTTGAACCTGGCCTGGCAGGTTCCAAATTTTGCAATAAGCCAACGGCACGTATTTATGCCTGAGCTTCAGGGCAAGCTGAAGCAAAACAATTGGACTCTGATGAGTGGATTGGCATGTAGAATTCTTGAAGTCTACTATTTGGGCGAGCTGAGCTTGTGGACTGAATGGCCGTAGTGTCTGCACACATTCGTCAATGACCTGGAATAAGGGTGGCAAAGCCAATTGCTCTATCTGACTATCATCCGGAAAGTTGCCAATGCCACTGCCTCATAAATGACACGAACGCTACCCATGAGGCGCTGCAGCCTGGTCCGACATTCATTGAATCCAAACCAAATAGAACACCAAGGGCCAAACACAAAAAGCTTGTTTGCAAAAGAATGCCACTTCTCTCAGGGCGCTGCTCATCTGCAGTGATGTTGGGGCTAAAGCATTCTTGCAGTTTCCACATTTCGTGCCTGAGAGGTGCACTAAAGCAAGCGCTTCTGGGACGCTACTAGGAACAAGAACGCTACTAGGAACAAAGGGCATCGCCACTAGGAACAAGGACGCTACTAGGGGCTCCTGGCCTTACTGCTATCAGCACGAACGCTTTACCTTTAACATTCTTGCTGTGCAAAGGGCCACTCAGCTGTCATCTGTATGAATTCGTCAAACTCGATGCCACCCGAGTTGTCTCGGTCAAATGTCTTGCCTGACGGCATCGTGCCATGGCCAAGGCACATGCAGGATTGCTCTGTGAGACACGTGGCGCCTATTTGCAGAATCAATCCTTCAGGAAAATTGATTCCAGCCTCACAAGTCTGTGCTTCGGTGTGTCCACTTATGCAGCTGCTCTTCTCTTGCATTCTCCGCTTTCCGCTCTTTTGGCTGCCCCACACGCCAAAAAGCTGTACAGAGCTCTGGCAGGTCCAGCGAGCCACACCCCTGCGGCTGTGAAAGAATACAAAAGAAGCATGAAATACAAAGAAGGAAGCGTCAGGAACCAAATTTCAGGTTTTTACAACTATTTTAAACTAATCCAGTGATCTATGATGCGCTCACCCTTCTCAGGTTTGCTAGCTGACAACATTTAGTATTGCAAATGCCTCAGGCCTACAATAGTATTCCACAGCTGTATATTCTCTGCTGCAAGTGTTTCCGTGCAACCTGATTGGCCCTGCAAAATCCGAAATGGCCCCACTGCGACAGCTCTTCCTGCCGAGTTCCGGGACTGTTGCCCCCACGGCCCAAAACTTCTCTTGGTCCCTCTTTTTGAGGCCGCCCATGTGCGATTTCCACCACCACAGCCTTGCTGTCCAGGCTGCTGAACGCGGCCTTCATTTCCTGCAGGATTCGATTTAGAATTTAGAATATGAAAACATTTTTGGACCCAACGTGATTCAAATGCTGCACCTTTAGGAAGATCATCATGCTACAGAACTGTTCAAATGTCCTTGGTGATGACTCTGATGACATAGTTTCGATGATTTCTGTGCTTATCTTGACAATTTCGTATTCATAACATGAGCTGGGCTCAAAACAAGTAAAGACTACCCTGGCCAAAGCGAATGATCAACCGCTCACACCTCGACACCAACAACTGTTCACAAAAAGTTTGGCTTCAAGTCCACAAGGCTCAGTCGTGCTGATGTGAAAGGGTCTGTGGACACCAAACCTGAGAGAAGCCACAATAGTAGCAACCGCGTTCGTAGTGAATCAGTTGCCACCAGTCAAAAAATGCGTGAAAACGATCCACAGGCAAGGATGCTAGGCTGAGTGGTGCACATGGATGAAAACACGACGCCATTGATAGCCGTCGCCCTTAGTTTCAGGTCATTATGGACATTTCCGGGTTGTCCCGCTAATCCAGTAATTAAGCAGGCTGCGTCCCGCTGTGCGCTCCCAAAATAGCACCGAGAGGTTCCAGGGATTGTTTGATTTCTTCAAGCCTGCAGGCAACTTGCCAGTGCAAAACAACAGCCGGCTGAACTCATGGGCAAAATTCATTGTTTAGGGCCGGTGCACTTGCAGAAGCTGCTGCGGAGCAATTCTATCTGCGCCTTGAGTTTTTACATCCTCGGCACATGTTGCAGCAACAAGCCGGATGTGCTAAAGCATCAAGTCCACGACCCAAGCGGCAATGTAATAGTCCTAGGTGGGCAATCGTCTTTGGATTTCCGCAGCTAAATTAAGCACAAATTTAGATTTCAAAACGTGCATGATGTCCAAAACCCTCAATGATGCATTGAACCACAAACAATGGTAAGGACTATTAAAAACTTACGTTTGAAACGGTTTGAATGATTGTGGGGTTAAGCAAGAATGAGAATTTGGCCAGCAGCCAACAACCACCATGAAAGGAAACCAATGTTGGCGCCCAATACAGTGTTGAACAGCCCCCTTCACAAAGCCCCGCCCAGCTGCATGACAAAACGCATCTGAGCACGCACGTCACATGCCCTTGGGGGCCCACAAAATCAACAGGTGCATCAGAGTTAGCAACATACACACCAATTTTTCACCAAGGGCGAAATAGTTCTATTTCTACAGTGACAACACAGCGCTGTGTTCCAAAAGAGGTGGCCAAGTACACCACCAGGTTCCCAACAGCATCAAATGCTTGATGGAACAAAACACACGCGCAAGATCCTTTCCAACAATTGCGCATCATGGAATGTGCTGAGGGCAAGCAAGTGACATAAGTGACGCAGGCATGCCAGCAATCACAACACAAACGAAAAACTACAAATATGCCAGCACAGGCCTGCAAATGGCCAAAAACATTGTAGGCAGCATTCCACAGCACCAGGATGTTTTTTCTTCGGCGTCGACAGAATCTGGCAGCTGGCAGCGGCACACTGCTGCAGCGGCACCAGCACCCAGGCTCCAAAGCGCGCACACGGCCATCAACAACAAGCCCGGCACCTTTGCCAAACATTGCTGTATTGAAACCCGTCCGTCATGCGAGCATCACGAATCACAACACGGCAATACGTCGGTGTAGCCTAAGCACATGCGCCCACCTAATCATGCGCAAGCGTGACAACGCCGCAACAAGCAAAAACATGTTAGCTGCAAGAACTAGGAAACCTGCGCTGCAACACAAGTTGAAACTTGCCAGCATGCCAGCACAACCGCGTGAGCCGACGTCAGCATTTCTGCGTGACAACACGTCAGCATGTTATGCTGGCGTCACCCGTGCCAGCATGACAGCCTGATAAGCTGTCGGCGTGACACCATGCCAGCACATCAGCATGACACTGTCTACACATCCACGCGCTTGCATGATGTACAATTAAAACCGGCAAGCCCGCCCGAACACCAAGAAACCATAGATCAAAACACGGACCACAAAAAGCAACTGCAAAACATAACCCTGTTTTAAAAGGCCGGGGCAGCAGTCTGTAATTGTGTGCGATGGCAAACCACAGTGTGCACAAAGTCAGCTGATCCCTTCAAATTTGGTCTGCTGCTCGACTCCCACGGCAACGTGACAGAATCCCGGAGAGACCCTGACACGCGTCGGCCCACACCTTCCGCAATCGAAGGGCTATCAGTGTGTGTGTGTGTGAGCGGCACCATCCGTGCTAAATGAAGAGGTTACCACTTTAGAAACCCCTGAAGTCGCGGCCTGGGAACTCATCTGAACTGCCTCTCGAAAAGCAGCTTTGTTACCCCCTTCTTCCATTCAATCGAGGAAAAGATCGACTTCACGATCGTACGCATAAAGAACAAACTCGCTTCCAAAGCGCACATCGCTGGAACTCAAGCTGAAAAAGGAGGCCGGGAGCACAAGCAATGCAAGGTCAGGGGCGTTTCCCTGCTTCCTCAAAATGATGGGGCTCTCAACAAACTGAACGTTTCTTTCACTACTTGTCATAATACTAAGTTAAGTCTCTTTTCCTAACTTGTCAGTTTCGATTATCCAACGCTAACATGACACCATGTAAGCAGCTCGGTGTATTGACAGCACGTCAGCACAACAGCATAGTTGCAAAAAGTTGCAAGTTAGCGTGACGGAGTGACAACATGTTAGAATGTCGACATGACAGCGCACACCGTACGAGCATGGTAGCTTAAGCATCTCATTTCTGGGGAGGCCCCCTGTGGCGACCCTGGAGTCGTCAGCGTTACCGGTCCCTGGTATTTTTGCGCCATGAACGGAACGTGTTTTCGTTCCGGAGCTGGCATGTAATGTAGTCACTCACCTCATGAATGAGATGCAGCCCGGTGCATGCCCAACATATTTGGCGAAGCATGAATTTCATTCATGGAGCCCAGAATCAAACGAACACGAAACCCCGAACCCGAAACTGTTGTGGGCGAGCGGGCATAGTTCCGAAAAGGTTTTCCCAGTTTTCTAGAAAAAACGCTGCCCGTGATTTCTGCAAAGTTGGGTGTCGTTCTGCCACGGCTGCCTTCGTGGTGTTGGGATTCGAGATCATCAGATCTCATGTCCCAGGGCCGCGCGAACATCCTTAAATTGAATTGCCATCGACACTCCCCCTAGATTCGCTCATGAAGAGAATAAAACAGAGCAGAGCCCCTCACAAAGCAGAAAGACCCTTGAAAGGGCAGAAGTCAAACCCCCAAAGGACACCCACAAATAGCATCAAATAACCAAGAACAGAAACCACCAAACAGAAAACCCCAACCCCCCAGAATAGTTTGGGTTATGGAGAGAAGGAGGAAGGATGAAGAAGAGAGAAAAGGCCGAAGACGAAGGGAAGGCGAAAAAGGCGCGCAGCCAGTGAGGGCCGACAAAACGGACAGAGAGCCGGAAACACAACACCCTTAGGCAGGACCCGACAGACCCAGCACACAGGGAAACAAACAATGAACAATGTTGATGTCAAGGGCAAAACCTAGCCTTGCGTCGAAAGGACGGTGTCATTGGCAAGCATGTAGGATATGACGACGGACAGACAGCCCAAACCCAAGCCATTAACATCTCACCGCCAGAAATTGCATCCTGCCGTGAAAACGCACCCGATGGTGAGGACACGCCCGCACCTGTCCAGCCATCCCTGAACAGAACACACTTGAGAAAGCAAGAAACGTAGACATAGAATATAATCCAATTATATAACTACTTCAAGGTTGTTAAAACAGCTGGGATTGAACTTACAAATATATATGCTAGCCCCCCCCCCCAAAACCTATGTTTCTGAGCGCTGGTGTGCAGTTGGTAAGCATATTTGTTCATTTAACTATGTACTACAAATATGTCCAAATCCATAAGGTTATGTGAGTTTACTAAACAGTTCTTGGATGGAGTAACCTACTTTGTATATTCAACTCTACTCTACTTTGTATATTCAAATTCAAATTTGAGTCTATTTCAATTAATTGTAAATATAGGTTCTAATTTACTATAGATTCTAATTTACTTGGGATTCAATGCAAGCCTAATTTTAATTTGCTTTCAAGCTAGTTCTAACTTCATTGCTATACAAGTCAGATTCAATTCTAATAGTGTATTCTTTTTCAATTTAGTTTTAATTTGAATGAAATTCTCATTTACTTCTTCTAGAGAAGTGGTGTTACTTTGAACATGAGAGATGTTATGTAGTCTTTCCAATATGGAAGAATGTGCTTTCTTAAATGAATTAAATTCACCACCAGCAACACCCACTCTCTAGAATGACACCAAAACTGAATTAGAAGTCCATGTGCATTGAACTAGAATCAATATAGGATGAAATTAGACATATAGAAACCAAACCTAATTTGCAATGACAATAGTGTAAAATTAGATGTGTAAAACAATTGAATCTGAACCGTATAAAGGCATTAACATTAGAAATTAATTACTAGTAAATTGGAAGAGTCAAAGTTACAATTGAACCCAAAATAGAATGAAATAGAACTAAATTAGAAGTACAGTGGACTGGAATTAAATTAGAGTTGAAAGAAACACATTGAATATTAATCCATTACTTAAATTGAAATTGACTTAGAACTAAGGTAGAATTGAATTAGAGTTGTTTTACCTAGAGCTTGGTTAGTAGAACAGTATTGACTTAGAACTAAATTGGAGTCTAAGTTCAGTTAGAATTGAACTAGATCTAATTTGCAATCTCAATTTGATTTCAATTATATAAAGTTCAAGCAGGATCATTTTCTATTTAAATTAGAAGCACGTTGCAGATTCAAATTTAGATTTAAGATTGAATTCCATTAGATCTAAAATAGCCAAACATAATTAGAATTAAAATAGAAATGAGTAAATTAGAATAAAAACTGAGTTAGAATTTGTCTATACAATGAAGTTAAGCCAAATAGACTTAAATTAGAATTCAATTAGGCTCAACTTAGGCTTAAAGTAGAACTATGTTACATACTCAAACTAGAATCCATTTAAAGTTCAATTAGACTTCAATCAGACTCAACTTGGAAGTTTAAATAGAAATACAAGTGATTATAAATTGGAATAAGAATTGACTTAGAATTTAGTTAAATTGTATGTGCACTAAAATTCAGAGAAGTAAATTAGAGTTGAATTAGTTGTTAATTAGAATTGGATGAGGAACAAATTTCGGTAATCAGTAATATTCCAGGATCAAAGTGTACTTAGTGCAATTTTGTCACTACCAGAGAATGCCAGAGAATGCATTCCTGCCCAATACCAAGACCAAGATCCAAGATTTGCACAGAAGTCTTGTGGAAAATCTTGGAAATACCAAGACCAAGATCCAAGATTTGGAAAATCTTGGAAATACCAAGACCAAGATCCAAGATTTGCACAGAAGTCTTGTGGAAAATCTTGGAAATACCAAGACCAAGATCCAAGATTTGCACAGAAGTCTTGTGGAAAATCTTGGAATTGGATCTTGGATCTTTGTATTTCCAAGATTTTCCACAAGACTTCTGTGCAAATCTTGGATCTTGGTCTTGGTATTTCCAAGATTTTCCACAAGACTTCTGTGCAAATCTTGGATCTTGGTCTTGGTATTTCCAAGATTTTCCAAATCTTGGATCTTGGTCTTGGTATTTCCAAGATTTTCCACAAGAC